ATGACACCCGTGCGTAGGAAAAGTAAAGAGAGATGCAATCCATCAGCCAATTTGAGATGTGTCAATCTCAGACTGAGTATACATGTGTCATCACTCAAGGGCTGGCTCAGCTTTTGTTTGGTTTAACTGTTTGCGATTTGCATAATAGCGAAACAGCATCTAGGTTAACTATGACAGTGTCTACACCTAAATCAAATACTCAAATTTGTGCTGAGCCAGTTTATAGGACCTGACCTGCATTACCACAACTCTTATCCCTAATGTCTTGGAATGTGTCTTGGAAAACCTGCTGTGAAGCTTCTGGCTAGACGACCTAGTCTTCTAGTTCCTGTTTGTTTTATGAAATCTGGTTCAAATGGATTAGAAGTCAGACTTTAAGTTTCAGTGGCCCCTTAATTTTGCTGATATTTCTCATAAACTTGAAACGACATTTTCTCTTCAAATGGTCGGCTTTTATCATTGTTAGTGTAGGATCCACCCAAATTTACCTGAGATTTTTGCACCCGTGTGTTTTCCAGGGTTTCTTGTCCTTTGCAGAGTCACATTGCCTTCCAGTGTCAGTCCACTGCAGCGCTGCAGGAAAGTAAGTCTCTGTCGTTTTTATTAGCTTGAGCAGTATTCTGATCCGGAGTTCCAAGAACCAGAGTCAGTCTGTATTTCAGTACCACAGACACTTCAAACGGAGGGTGTAATTTACACAAGACAACCTCAAATTTCAGCCTTGAAATGCTGCCTGTGGCGAGTTCAGTCTGGTCATATGACGAGACATTTCCCACCGTGGGCGGCACGAAATAACAAAACACAAGGTGGATTAAAAACAGGAAGGGTGTCCGCTGATTATCGTGTTATCTCAGTGTGCAGTGAATGTTGTTTGCAGGCCTGTTTGCTTCTCTGTGGAGGACTTGGCCCTGGAGGCCACTGTGGTGTTGGCGACTCTGACGGACTCTGAGAGCAGGGAACCCTCTCAGCCAACAGCGAGCCAGACCCACACCACACCCAGGTAAAAAGTCAGGGCTGATTTAAATCGCTGTTTACATTAATCAGATTTTTTTATATATATATTTTTGAGCAGATATTTTCTCTGTCGGACAATGTCTGTACATCTCCTAGTGACAGAGTAGAGCAGACTAGTGTTGGATCTTCCCACGTGGCTCTACCTGAGCTTCTCTCCTGGCACTCAGTCAAGACAGTTTGCCCTCATTGGCTTTTTTTTTTAGCTTCCTAAGAGGGCATAGTGTTACGGCGACAGGCCTTGTGTCTGTAACAGAGATAAATAGGGCAGGCCCACATGTAGGGTAAGGTTAGAAGCCTGTCAGTATCACAGTCTGTAATCCCCTCATCTCTGCTATTGTATCCTGCTGGGTCGTTCTGTCAGTGTCCCTTTCCTGTCCCGCTCTTTCTCTCTCTCTTTGTCATAGTATGCGTTCTTTGGGCTCTGGGTGGTTCCTGTCACACCGGTCCCTGTTGTAGTGTTGAACATCTGGGTCATTATAACTAGGTTTGCTTACATGCACTGCTGGAAGTCTGTAGAGGCAGACCTTAGCCCTCAGGGCCTGTGTCTTCACTGCACAGGAATTCAGCCACACCGCACACTCTCTTAGCCATCTTTATTATATCTATGTTCTGATCATTGGGACATTTCTGAGCAAATGTGGTACGGTGTTTACAGCTGTCACACTCTCTTAAGAGAACTCGTTTGCCTCGGAGACAGAAACAAAGAGCCTGAAGTTGTGTGGAGACAGCTTTAAAGCCAATCTTGTTCACTTCTTGCTGAGTTCTCCTTTGTGGATCTGGTTTGATTACATAACTAAGGTCGATGACGCCGATGTAGTTTAGTTTTGTTGTTGCTCATTGAATGCTTAAGGCTATTTTAGAATCAGCTGATTTAGCGCCCTGTTGATGGATGTCTTTGCAAAAGTAGAATAGAACATTTTGTCAAACGGTTACACAACATTGTTATTCTTTCTTTATTACTTTTGCCAGTTTGATGATAAAATACACACTTTGATATTTGTCTTCACTCTCTGGTTCTTGTCTCTGTTCATGATTTTCTCTCTGGCCTGGAGGAGGTTCTGTGCCTTTTTTCCTTCCCTGTCATTTTGAACATGAACCCTATTTTCACTCCCTCTCTTAGACATGTCAGTAGAGCCCACCCCTCCCCGCATGCTCAGCAGCTACTTTCACAGAGACATGCTGGAAATTCACTTCCCAGTCTCCATACTGGTAGAATTATCAGCTCACTGCCAATGATAATGGCAGAATGCACGACAATTAAACCGCACTTGGTGTCGCAGCTGTTTTTGGTGGCTCAGAAACCGACTATTAGCTCTGGAAATGATAGTGATGTGTGTGTTCGTTCTCAGGTGTGCAGAGGCTTCTCATCTTGCTGTGGGTTCGTGTGAGGCAAACATCCGGGAGCCTCGGGGTACTCCTGCTGTGACAGAGCTGGTAGCATCCAGCCAAGGCAGCCCCATACCGCCTCGAACTGATGGACTCTGGCTGCCTGTGGAGGACTGTACCAATGCCCCCACGACTCCTGCCTCCTCCATGGTAACGAGACCTTTCAGTTGATTTTAAAGTAATACAGGGAACTGTGTTACATGTGCCCACTGCTTGGTCCCTCATGCCTGAAGGCTCTTTAGTATTGTCAAGTTGAGAGGCGAGAAATCTATCAGTGTTTTCCTCCGATCAATCCCTTAATTATGTCAAGAACAAAATGTCCTGCTGGATTGGATTTCACTCAAAATGACCCTGCATGTGAGAGACGTGTTAATATAATACGAAGCCCTAAAATCGTACTTTCCTGTCATTTGATTTTACTTTTATCTTTTATGTCATCTCTTATTTTCTCTCTTATTTCGGCTTTACTTACATATACTTCAAGTCTTTTCATAATTAACCTCTTAGGCCTTTTATTGTTTTATCTCTTGCTCATTTCTGTTGTTCTATTTTATCATTACTATTATTATCATTATTAATATTGTCTTATATATTTACATCCTGTTTTCTGCTTTCAACTCCCTTTTTTTTTGCATTTTCTTTGTCTTACCTATTTTATATGTTATATATTTCTATGTGCTTTATGACTATTTATCAAAGCACTTTGTAAACTTCTGTTTTTATAAGTGCTATAAAAATAAAGTTATTATTTTATATTCTGCTGTATCACGGGTTGTTTCTTTTTCTTTTGTAGGTCTGCTCCCTCCTGTTTAGGGCCTTGTTCTCAGAGCAGGACAGCGATCCAGCTAACCTGACTGTTCTGGCATGTTACAGTGACGAAGAAGAGGAAAATATGGAGGAAGAGTTCGCGAGAAGCCCCTCACTTTGAGAGCTTTTAGTGATGCTGTTTAAACACTTCATTGTTGTCAGATCGGACATAGAATAAGTTTTTGTAATATTTAAAGCATATTTATAACTTAATTGTTGGTTTTCCTGTCTCATTAATTTCCCTATGGTTGGGGATTCAAGTTTGTTCATTTTGAATAGGATTTGTCAGAGTTAAATACATTTATAAATAAATAAAAAAGATAATTTCAGTGTGAAGCTGGTTTGTTCTTACATAACTGGTGTCATGAACGAAAACATGATTTCAGCATGAAGATGCCGCACCTGCTGGTGCAGGTTTGCCCACACCTGAGGAATTTGTACTTGTACACAAACTGTACAGGGCGTTCTCCAGCATTTTCTCTCTCTAAGAGTCAGGCGGGGTAAACAGACTGGATGAGGAGCCAAATGAGATTATGTCTCGTTGGTAAAATACAGCCCTAAAGGCATGAAGACTGGCTCAGAGAGGAAACCGCTTCTGTAATATGTTGTTCAATTATCGAGTGTGCCAGAGAGTGCTCCTGTCAATCATGAAACACAACAGGATAATAAATACTATACTCTTTATTTAAATATTTACAGATTTGAAAATGTTTTACAGAACTTACACAACTGAACTGTACAGCCAAAAAAGAAAAATATATATATTTATAAAGACACATGCTCTGGTTGTAACAAAGTGTTTGGAAGAGAATGAGAGACATCAGGGGAGGGTGTCAGGAAACAGAAATCCCAAAGATAACAGTGGTGAACCATCTGATAGAGGGGATTGCTTTGTAATTTTGTTAAGGCTGCTTAGATTGTCCTCAGTGCTTCAACACTAAAAAAAAAACCTCACATTTTGACCATTAACTGCTCTGACCTGCCTCATTTCTAAATGAACCCTGACGCTGTAGTCTTCCAGTGTGAATTGATCAGATCAAAAAAAAAAGAGGAAACAGTCCATTAGGTAGTGCAGAGTGTAAACATTCACCTGAAGATCTACTGGGTTGATTTTCTAGGCGTGTGATGGCTTGGCAACTATTCCTAATCTCCTGACTGAGCCGAAGGAAGCAGATTTCAGTAAAAAATAAAAATAAAGAAAGGTTGGATGAGCTGTGGAGGGTTAAGACAGCAGGGTATGATTGGAAAGCTCTACTCACTTTTATGGCTACTTAACAGTTTCAGGCTCTGTGCTCAGTATCTGGCACATAAGTCGTGGATTTTAAAGAAATTATGGACGTTTGCCAGTATCAACAACACCTGATACAAGGCACATCATTGTAATGTTACACAAAAATACAGATTTTTTTTTCAAAAGAAACATTTCAACTGTGGATTAGGGTTGCAGTACTTTGCAGAGTGCAAATCTGTAGTGATGTAATGGAAACACAGTGACCAGTTTTCACATGAAACCTGATGTGACCCGTCTTATGAATGTGCCTTTGGAGCTTTACAGCAGAAAGGATGGAGAGAGGTGGAAAAGGAAAGGCTGACTGCGAACAACAAGGGGGGCTAAAGCTACTCTGATGAGGTGATCAGTCCAAAGAATTCAACAATCCCACTGAACAAAAGAAGCTACGAAAATACATTTTTGGGTCACGTGACCGACTTCCACTGCTCTCAGCTCTTTCAGATATGCTTCTTAAGCTTTGTGCGTTTAAGGCTGCGACACTCAAATCAGCCCGGTGAATACAGAGAAGTCTGTATAACCTTCACATCCGTTTCATAGACAATTACGCATTTTCAGTTCACTGACGAGCACAAGCGCATTCGTAACACACTCAAACACACAACCAAACACACCCTATATGTAATCACAATCAAGATTAACACAGCAGCTGTAAGATTAAAGGGAGGGCTTCGGTTTTTAAATATGTATGCGGAGTACGCGGAGAGGATATTTAACTACAAAATGCTCATCCTGGTAATGAAGTAAAAATGGTTTGCACGGTTTAAATTACACTGGCATTGAAAAGGCAGCTGCCACTCTTCTGCATTAAATCTCCTTGGATCACCCTATTAAGACACGAACCACAGATGTAAAATTTATTTATCAGTACACTCAATTTTTTGCAAACATTCAACAAAACATCCCAGAACAGCTCAAAGGTCATAACCTAGTATCGAACGGGTTCCAGGCGCCCCTGATGATGGCGGTTTAACCACCACCGTGTCACTGGGAACACCTGCGCGCTTCCCTTCTTGATGCGACTGATGGGACTGCATCTTTCTCATTCAGCAGCCTTTTGGGGAGAGGGTCTTACACTTAGTGCCTCTGTCACTAAATCTCTACCTTCTCCCTGCACAAACTACCCATCAGAAAAAAAAGATGACTTATCCTTGTCAGACAGGATCATCATCTCCAACGCTGCCCAATGACTGCTTATCCCCTGCAATAGGATTAACCAGTGAGCACTGGAAAACTGCAAAGACGCCAACACTGCAGCCATGCCAAGAGGATGTTTCAGGCCTCTAGTCCTCTTATCCATCCACTCTCTGATGTTCACGATAAGAGAGGAGAGAGATGTAAGTTTTAGGGAATAGAAAGGATCGATGGTCAACCGGTGGGCTCGGGCAGGGTAGAGTCGGGCATGCAGGGTAGAGCCAGCCCTTCATCCCGGCCAGCAGGAATCAAAGCAGTCCATCACCCGCAGATGCAGATGCAGATGCACCCCTGTCACCACTTCACACAGACTCTAGTCGGTGTATTCTGCCACTATGGAGAGCAGCACTGTGATGTCGTCGGGCTTTCCTCCTGAATAGAAAAGGAAACTGTTAGCGTGGTGCGACTGTATCGTTTGATTTTCAGAATATTTTCTACCTCTTATCATTTGTATCCGATTCAAGTACAAACTGAGACAATTACCTCTTACATTCAGTCCGTTGTCACAGGCAAACTGTGCAAAAGGTGACATGTAGTTGGGGTCATACGCGAGCACATGAGCCTGCTCTGCAATACTCCGTGCTGTCTGCTGGACGCTCTCATAGTTGGCGTTCTTCAGAGCAAGATTGAAGAAGAAATGAAAGTTATGTTTCAGACATACTTCCCATCAGAAAACCATCTTAACCCTTAGCCTGACTTACCTTGAGTTTCTTCAGCTCTTGCAGGATCATATAATCCGGCATGTTGTCAAACAGCCCGTCGGTTGCGGTGAGGATGATATCACCGAGCTGGACATCAAAGGAAGAGCTGTCTGCTGCGTCAGGGCTGTGGGCACAAACATGTTAAAGTCAGACACAGCATGAAATCATAGCATATAGAAATGAGTTTGTCTCACAGGTAACTAATAATCCTGTCCCATCTGAGCTGATAGATTCTAGTTGAACACTTCCATGTGTCTCAGCTACTTCTCAAATTCCACCAAAGACAGACACTCTCGATAGTAACACAGTGGCACAATTTATCTGTAACTCCAAGTCTGATAAAAATCCTGAAACAAAATATCAGCTTATAGCAATAAAGCAGGAGAGGTTGTTTGCGCTTGTTGCAATCTGCAGAAAACAGAAAGAGGAAGAAGAAGCAGGGGTGAGAAGCTAGCTTGCTAGAGCAGCTCCTGAAAGACGGCACTTGTAAAACTGATGTTCGAAGATAAATTTTGAACCCAAACACCACTTTACCCCCCATTTCCACCGCATCTGGAGCGGCTACGAAAAGGCCGTATCCGCCGATCGCAGCTGATCGTAACCATTCAAGTTAATGTGTCAATTTTCACCGGCTTCTTTCCACTGCGGATCGCCAGACTCTGCAGCTGATCGCAAGAGTTCAAATTTTCCCGGATGCCTAAGCATGCTGGATAAATTCAGCGCAGATTAACCCGTGCTGGAAAGGAAGTCGGGCACAGACACAAAATAAAAAATTGTGCTTCTTTTCAAAATAAAACTCTGTGTTTCAGGCGGTTCATATTTCACACCGTGCAAATGGGCGGGACGAACAAGTGAAAGGTTTTTAGACTTCTTTCTTCCTGATGGATGAGGGGATGCTAATTTTAGAAGTCTAGAAGTCTAGAAGTAGATTTCCTCCTCTGGAAGGACACAATCTACTGCTTATATGGTTAGCCTCTGTGGCTGTCCTTATAGAGACAACTTGTTATCGCACGGTTACATGTGAATCCGCAGGTTCTTGTGAATCTCTCGCGATTACCGCTGTCAGTAAACGTCCCACGAAAGGAGTGTTGATACATTGAGCACTTGGTTTCAAAATTTAGGATTTTCTCCAGCCGTATTATTCATAAAGTGAAAATCTGATATTGTGTGAGCACTATTGAGAAACAGTCATTCTTCTCGCTGATGGAAAACGAACAAAATCTAAATCTTTTTATTTCCCTTTGTGTTCTGCAGTCAAAGGAATCTATTCAGTTGTGACCCTGGCACTCCGCTCCACTCGTTGATCTGCCAGTTGATCTGGAATCTAATCCTAATCTGAGTGTAAATCAGTTTGGATAAATCCTCCCCACTAAATGGCATTAGTGCACAAATTAAAAAGAAAGGTCCGTTTAAAACAACACACTGAATCCACAATGACTGAACACCTGACAATGAGCGGGTCGGACTGAAGTCTAGTAGCAATAAAAGATTAAACACAGTCATTATGTAAGAGTAGTGTAGTTAAGGTTCATCTTCCTTCAGTTTTCCAGACATGCACTTAAGAGGCTCAAAATAATCTGCTTGGTTCAAGACTAGGGGAGTGAAAAAGGTGGCTGAGCCTGCTGGTGCAGGATTGGCTGTGGACTCTCCAGCCCACACAGACTTTGACCAGGGTAAGAGGGGAAGCTTGGCAAGCATCCAGCCCCTGCCCTGCACTCTTCTGACGTCTACTGTGTGGCTTTTTGGCACACCCCTGCAACGAGGGAAAACAGCACGTGGACCCGGACACACTGTTACGCTACACCTCCGAACAGGGAAGCCGCTACATTCACAAAATACGACTGCATGGAGGACACAAAATGTTCTTCTTTAGTACTGTTTGTTTTTGTAATTGTTTGGCCTTTGCCTTTATTGGATAGTCCCATGAGTGTGGATAGGATTTGAGAGCTGGGGGGGGAGGCAGAAAACAGAGTGAGGAGTCAAACTAGGGACAGGCGAAGGCTTTCCCACTGTCTGTGAGACGCCTGCTGAAACAGTGCCCCTGCATAGCTGTTTGTTGCTTTTACTTGCCTTGTCATAAACAAAGCTTTAGCTACATATTGCTGGTAGGATGTGTAAAAAAATGTACAATCTTATGAGTAAATATTTCCTGCATCTGTGTTTTCTACTTGGTACAACACCACCGTGTCTGTGGTTGTGTTCCTAATGATGTGGTGCAGCAGGTGTACTTCAGTGATTTTGTATGTCTCACCTGTCACTGAGGACAGCTCCTTCAGCCCCGGGGGGAGCAATAGACAGCTGAAAGGGTGTATTAAAGTAGTGCTGCTGCTCGTCTGATCGGTGGACCACTTCCCCTCCACGGACCACAAGGAAGCCAGAGTCTCCTAGGTTGGCTGTGTGTAGTCGGTGGCTCTGCCGGTCCAAAACCACAATGCACGCTGTGCTGCTACCTGCAGAAAACACAAACATGCAAATATTTCACTTCAGTGCAAACATTCAGGAAAGGTCAGGAAAGACAGGTTGCAAGATTACCGTATTTTTTGGGACATAAGCACCGGATTATAAAGCGGATTAAGCAAAACAACACGGCCCAGTAAATCAACCTTTACTTAACTCAGTTGTAACAACAAATACCGGTACAGAAAAATACGTTCACTCATTGATTCATTCCTCTTCCGCAAATTCTTCATCTCCAGTGTCTGAGTTAAACAGCTGTGCGATTTCAGCATCAAGCGTGACCGGATCCCTCTTTATCGGAGTCTGTCTCGTTGCCGTTACCGGTACTTGGCTGTTTAGTGATGAATCCAGCTTTCATGAAAGCTCAGACGACAGTTACTGTAATGCTCCGAATATCCACTGAGTGGAGCAGCTTTGTTGCGTACCGAAGTCGTACTTACACATTTCGACAGATTTCTGAGCGCATTGTACCACATAAAATCGGTCAGTAAGCACAACAAGTAATCATACATAAGGCGCACTGTCAATTTTTGTGAAAATTTAAGGATTTTCAGTGCGCCTTATAGTCCGAAAAATACGGTCGTTGTTGTCTTACATCTTTTTTCTGTGGGCGATACATATATCTTCTTTTTCGTGTGTGCAATAAAGCTTATTATGTGGTCATAAAACTTAAATTCCATGCACAGTTATTAATAATATACATGGTTACAAGTAACATGTTTGAGATGGAAGACAAAAAAATGACTGTATGTTAAGTTCTAAATGACTGCAGTCCAAACTAAAAACCTGGGGCACTAAAAATCCTTTCGTAAACGTGTCTGCGTCTGACTGGACTGAGTCTTGATCAGGACCTGGGCGTAGTTCTGGATATGGACAATGTCTTCCATCAGTGCAGTTATCCAATTCCTAAACCAAGACACTTGAGAGTTGCTTTACTTCATTGAAATAAACTTTAAAACTGTTCTGAAAGCAAAATTATCAATTTTTTAACATCTGGCTGAGACTAAAATGAGTAAAGAAACAAACTACTGAGATTCTGTGATTACACGCAATTTGAAAGATTTCTCATTCGACAGGAGGCAAGGAGACAAACTGTTTGGACTCTCCACATCTGCACAGATTATGATTCGACTCTATGTTTATAGGAGGATACCGGTCTTAAGCGTATTTGGCAGAAGGAATAATGAGGTAAACCTGAACACACAAACTTGAGCTAACAGGATATGCTCAACAGGTTGGAGCAATTTCGTATTTTTTCTCCTCCTCCACTATTTCGGAGATGCTGGAGTGGAAACACGAGCTGGTGGAGCAGGCAGACATCGTGCAGCCACACCCTGCTGGTGATTCATCTGGCACGCCAAAGTATGCTCTTTTGGATCAACCTTCAAAACCCCCTCGTGGTCTCTGACTCACTCCCTTTCTTCTCGGTTTACTCTCCAGCAGCACAATTGTACACATCGCCGGTCTCAAGAACATTCCCTCTGCCATGACGAACGGCACAATACAGTGTTGTTTCCTCGGCTGCACATGTGATAACAGGGTGGAAAAATACTGTGACACTTGGAGAGACGGAGATCCGTTCGTAAAACATTTGCTCGCTGATGTTACATGTTTGTGCTCGCTTTGTTATCACAAAGCGGCGCTACAAAGGGGAAGAGTTCTGGATGTGAACTACACAGAGAGGGCCTGGACTCGGGACATTCCCAAAGACTTCTTAATGGGATCTGGCTGTTCTGACTCATGATGCAAAAATCTCAATGCAGCCACCGCTACTCTGAACAGACAGAAACAAACAACCGAGCCCAGGGTTTGTGTCCTTAGATCCAAAACCACATGGAAAATATTTGATTGACAGGCGGAGTATTACTGTACACAAAACAGGCAGGATGGTACAGTCAAAGACAGTTCATGGGATGGACCTTGACTTGTTTAGGAAGCTTTCAGAGAAAGTGGGAGGTGCTGAGGAGGAAACTGTGAGTGAACTATAACAGGTCCAGATTAAGTTCTTCACAAATAGCACATCGAGTGTCTTTTTTACTCATAGAATCACTAAAGCAGTAGTGTAGGAATTTTGTGTCAACAAACATAAAGCAACGCAATTTTATACAGTGTGTACCCAAACATACTGCTTCTTTCCTAAAGAACCGTTTATAAACTGAGATATTCTGTCTGAAAACTAAAGTAGACCCGATATTTTCTCAGAGGAGTAGGGCTGAGCGATATGGGAAAAAGTTTATCACGATATATTTTTTCACATCAGTCGATATCGAAAAAATGAAATTCAACAATGCTTATTGGTAGCATGTTTTTTGCAATACAATAATCTACTGCATCTGTGAGGTCTTTGTGTCTCTTTGATGTTTTGTCATAAGGCACTGCACCAGAGAAAGCGGACTGAATGGTCGGCTGTTTCAGCTGCACAGGCGCCATGGACTCCTCGCACTGCTCGGGGGTTTGTAACGTTTTGCATTGCGCTTGCTCTGCCGCGTGGCACTGCTCTAGGTGGTGAAAAAGATTTGAGGTATTCCCCGACTTTGCGAGAACATATACTCGACATAATTTGCATGTTACTCTGCTTCATGTCCGACCTCAAATAAAACAAAAAACCTCCACACCACCGACGTTTTCGTGCAAGTTGTCAACAATGTCATCATCTGTTGAGCCTTTATCTGCATTCCTGCCGGGGGCAGCACTCATTTTCTTTTTTTCTCACCGACAGTGCTGTCAACTTAACGTGTTTAAGTGCTATGGTTGCCTGCAGCCTGCTACAACACAGTTGTTTGCTACTTGGTTCTAATTCAGCACATGCTTGGTTCGGCGCAAAGCGGACCCGGAGCAACTCCCCTTTTCATTGGCTATATAGTCTACCAAAACATGGCAGAATGCCGACTATTGAAAAACATACTGACCATGTTTTATATTTATATTGAGGGAAATTAGTTTTATATGTATTGTTTTATCACCCAGCCCTACAGAGGGGGTATGTGATGGTTTGTGGATCTACATATGGTCAGCACTCAGTCTGTATTTTCTAATTTTCTTACCAATTCGATCATTTCATCAATGTCAATCATTGTGTAGAGGTGTAAGCAGTCTGCCAACAGTCTGCAGGTTGGGACAAATATGAAAAAACAAACAAGGACCGGGTTACATCAGTGCTACTCTCCTCTGCTCTCTGTGTGTCTTTCACTTCCACGGATTCTTTTTCTAAACCGGCGCTCTCTCTGTCCTTTCATCTCGATGTCAATTAACCACCTCTGCACATTCTGTGACCCTGCGTCCAGTGGATTTACTTACCAAGCAATGGCACTTTGTTCTGCAGCAGCTCATAGTAGCTGGTTGTGAGGACTCCCACAGGATTGCTGGGAATGAAGCGTCCCTCCTTCACCAACCTCTCGCATGTCTTCATCAATGTGCCTGAAAACTGAGAGGGGTCCACTCCATAGTCGCGCCAGCCACCTACTCCATCGGCGACACCTGAAAAACGGTCACATGGTTAGATACCAGAACTTTCACCTGGTCGTGCAACAGAGACAAAACCTTCACTTTAAATTCTGTTGATTGATTGGTGCTGCGTTCAAAACCTCCATGAAGAGACAGTTTTTTTCCACATATCTGTAAATCTCATAGTCCTTGTCCAGACTTGTTTCTTGAGAGAGTCTTGCGAGGAACAATAACAGTGCCGTGCAGCTGCACAGTTTCATGAAAACAATGGCTACTTTCAGTAAGACACTAAAGGAACATCCAGTTACAGAAAAGACAATTGCAGAGGACATCATGGAAATGTCACTGAGTGCATTCAGCGCCTTTAGCGTTTAATTTTGACCTGTCTTTCCTTTTAGTTGTTCCTAAAACTACTTATCAACACTCTCATACCTGTAACTGCGCATTGCTAAATGTTATTTTGCAACCATGTAGTTCAAGGCAATTTGCACTTACATAATCTATTTCACATCCAGATAACAAAAAAATCTGTGATACTGGAGCCCACAAAAATCTCACTATCGCACGCCTTTACTAATCCTTTTAAAGAGGCATGCATTGCTTCATTGGTTAAAGAGAGCTTGTTCCCTAAGAGCATTTGGTCCGCGCCGAGGTTTTCCTAGAAAGGAAACTTCAGACTCGATAGTCTCAGGACTGACCATACAAGGGTGGCTCTTGGCGTCTCCTCTGTCTTTGCCAGCACAGAGAAATAGGCCTGCATGAAGCAGTCACATGCAAGTTTATCAAACTTTCTGAAAATAACCTGGCTCTGAGAGACGGGAGTGTTTTCTTTTGTCTAATCAATTCAGAATGCATCAGCAAATAGACATTCAATGGTGCTGTGTGGCAGTGCAGAGATCTGAGGTTGTTTTTTTTCATGATTCAAACTTAGATACAACCCAAGACTTTAACCTTTACTGCCCCTTTTTGCACCAAGAGAATAAAAACAGCCACCAGGGCATCAGCAGCCATGCAAGACAACACAAGATATCATTAACATTATTAAGAAAGTTCACAGTTGACTCGTGAATCTCAAGTGTCAAGTGCAGTGTGCCAAAGTTCAGACTGTGCATCCAAGTGCTCAGCAGCTGACTGATGCGAGTGTCAATGGATGAAAAGCCCCTTTTAGTCTGCATCCACCGGGACAGTCTGTACCTGCAGACTGAAGTTTCTTCTGTTGGCCACGTTCATGTGCACTGGTCTCAGTTATCTTGCTATGGAGTTTGGCAACCTAATCCGGCAGAGATTACTTAGAAAATTGACACTTTAGAGCTTTTGCAACTCTTGCACCAGTCAAATCTGTTATCATTAAAAAGGGATATTCCCGCATATAATTAATCGAGAGATGAATGTTGCCGACCGCTTGCTTCTCTAGTTACTAACGACCACACGATAACAATACACAGCGGTCTGAGAAGCCATAAACAAACCTCAACCTAAATGCCACTCTATAGCCACAAATAATCAGTGTTGTGTTGACGCCCCTTTTTTTCCATGATGAAGACGCGACCTTGACGAGCTAAACATAAGTCTTAGATGACTAAAATGTGACGAGACGAAGGTGCGTTTACGTTGACAGGGGAGACTAGACGAAAACGTTAGTGGTGGACAACAAACAGAGTTGCAAAATTCATGAGCATTTCGTCAGTCAAACGCTTAAGATACATTCTGCAGTGTTGTTTTCATTGACGATGATGTTGACTAAATATTTTTGTCATCATCAATGAAAACAACACTGCAAATAATGCTCAGAACAGCACCTAACTTCATCAACAGTACATATAGGGCACTAGCCATCAAACATCTTTTTAACTTAACTAAACACAACTCACCTACTCTCTTCCAGCAGCCGCTTTTTTGTAGCAAGACTTCAGGCCAGTCCATTACGGACTGCAAGGGGGTGCCGCGGCTCAAGGAAGAACATTTATGATCATTTATCATCATTTTCTTGAAGTAATAATCACCATATTGATCATTTTGCACTGCAGGCGCAGTAGTTCTTCTGTGTTAGCGTCTCGGTCTGAATTCATTTCTATGAAGAAATGATTATAAATGTTCTTCCTTGAGCTGCGGCACCCCGCTGCAGTCTGTAATGGACTGGCTGAAGGTCTAGCTACAAACAAGCGACTACTGGAAGAGAGTAGGTGAGTTGGGTTTAGTATCTATGCGAAAGAAATTAGGCAAAGATAAAAAGATGTTTGGCTGCAGAAGGGGTTGATCTAAGCTGAGTAATTCAACTCATTGTCACTTAAAAGACCAGTCAGGGCAACAATATCTGACAGTTTTATCATGGTACAATTACATTTAAGTGAATTATCAATGCAGCAATTTTTAAAGGCTTGATTTCGTAAGTCTCTTCTTACTTGAAACGTTAATTTTGACCCTTTTTTCAACCTAACCTGTTATACTCTGTCAAATTTGGCCACACGTGAGTGACAAACCTTTATATGAAGCATTGTTAAACTCTATTGTATTGTGTCGGATCTCATATTCGCGTCGCAGTCGATCGCTATCTCTCCGGTTGGGTAACGTCTCAGTTGCGAACAAAGCGGATACTCACCCAAAACATCAGCGGATCTATGTCGGGCGATGAAGCACGCGTCGTCCCCATAACACATCCCTTTCTTCAGGATACCTTTGCGGAAATCCTTGCCAAAGCCACAGCTCGCTGTCACCAGGCTGTAGTCGCGGCTGTCTGTCTGAGAAAGTCCGCCGATGACAGCTCTGGCAACCAGTCTACCGTACGACAGCACGGACAACATCACCTAGAAAACCTGCTCCCACAAAACGAACCGGCCAAGCTAGCAGCTGTGCTAGCCTAGCGTCTATGTAAGCACACTACTATATTCACTGGCTAACTTGCTAACGAGGCTGAAGATGAGCGGCTGTGCTACCGTACACGCCAACGGTCGCCACGTACGAGTTAACAAAGCTTTCCGCTGATAAACTAAGTACAACCTCACAGGGTTTGACCCCCGCGAAGAAAGAAAATCACGAAATTTTAAAAACAACCGCCTCTTCCGCTCCAAATGACCCCTAAGAGATAGTTCTCCGTGGCCATGGTGCCAGTTCTGCCTCCCAGTCACTACATAACACAAGATGTGAACGAGCGATGCTCTGGCATAGATGTATATACACAAATGCTAGATGGATTACGCACACTGTTAGCCAATGGAGACCGACGTCCGCACATGGCGGCCATTTTGCTACGGGATACTCGCCCGCTCATAACATTACAGTCTACGGTGCATGTAGCGTAAAAATAACCACAGATTGCTCAATTTTACACCAATTTTCGAACGGTTTTGTTTGTAACAACGCTCAGAGTTTTAGTTATGTTCCTGCATACTCAAGAATAATTTCAACCATTGATTTTCACATATAAACATTAATCGGATAGGTAGAGCATCTGCTTCCTTATATTTATACTGTTACACTGTTTATACTGTTATGCTGTTTATATTGTTATTTTGTAAATTGAGAGTTTTTAAGGTAGTCTTTTAATTAGCTTAGTTTATTCTTATATTTCTACTTTTATAGTTTTATTCCTCTGATGCGTTCCGGGTCTGAGAGGACTGAAAGGTCATCTGTGCTGTATGTTTAACTTGTATAGCATATTTGATAATAAAGTTGACTTTGACTAGAGCAATAGCTATATGAATGTATATGTAAAATATTTAATCATTCAATCATGTATGTTATATTAGTAATATTCCTATTATAGGGAAAGCTATAATAACATATAGCAATTACATTTATTTTCAATATAGATTTCTGCCTCATGTTGCCTCTGTTGTTTTCGACAAACCAAACAGCTTGGACATCATGTGCAACTTGAGTTATGTTGAATCGAAGAAGTATTTCTGTCTCTTCAACTAATGTAGAATTGCAGGGTCAACTTTATAATAAGTACTTGGTCTCACTCATAGCACATACACAAAGACTTTCATTTGTAAATCCGTCAAAATTTCATCGAGTTCAGAGTATTTTTGGTCATGCAGATTGCGCGTACTAGAATGGTATACTGGAGTAAGATGGCCGCCGTGTAGCGACACCGGTGACTCCACCTCGAGCCATCTAGCCTTTCTTATATATATCTATGTCCTGTGGCCCCACACGCGCTGATCTGCTCGCGAGGTCTTGTGACTGCCATGACGTCAGACATCGTTACGCAATCTGTTTCCTAATAAGGAAATGTTAATTTCAGCACTTTCTCTCCTTCTCTCATATAATAAAATAATGAATAAGAGTTTGAGGGAAACGGGCTTTTTAAATTAAAACATTTAACTAGAATTTTGTACAAAATGTACAAGATTGTAAAGTAGATGTGGGTAGAGGTGTGGGGTTTGGGTCTATAAAAGAAACGGACATCTCCTGAAAATAAAATGTTACAGTAAAATTAAAAATAATGCACATTTGTAAGATTTTATTTCACTATATTTTAGACTAAACTTGACTTGAACTTAATTTTGTCTCCCCCTTGTGGGTGTTTATTGAGGTTACTGTACATAGTTGCTCATCAGGACTTCATACAACCTTTTCAGTCCCAAATTATGTCATGTTTTTTGCAATTCAGGAAAAAATTAATTGATAGAGATGTAATATACTCAATAATAATTCAACACAAGCCTGAATGCAACTGTGCAGAAAATAGTATTTAGTACAATGTAATCGACAGAGAGTGAAGCCTCTTGCAGATGTCTCATATCTGTAAAATCTATTAATTTAGGTCTTCAGACAAATAAAACAAGTTTTTCAGACTTTTATGACCCTAGTTTTTTATGATCCGATTTAAGACCTTCTTTAGGCGTTTTTTTGACCAACAAATCTTTTCATAGTTCCAGACACAGTAGGAACTTTCTCTGAGGAAAGCCCCTTAGTTTATTATGGGTCACCTCAGCGCGTTTGCACATCAAATCAGAATCTGTACTTCAAGTATTCTAGCAGAGTAACCAACATAGGAACAAAATGACTCCCAGGTACCAACTTCCCCCTAAAATACACTCAAAGTTTATTAGAAAGATTTAGACATTACAAGAGTGCTTGTTTATTCATTTCATTTAGCACAAGACTTATTTAAAAGTGTTATGATGCAGTGTATAGTCAATATCCTGCGACACTGACTGTAAATAAACCGTAAATAATGTTTTACAGAAGTAAACAGGTGTTTGTGACTTTTCCCCCATTGGTTTTATAGCCATTATTACCCTTTGCTGACAGTGAGAAAAAAGATGACAAATGGATAAAACATGAAAAACAAATTGAAAAATTGTGCACAGCTTCAAACAAGGCATTCCTGTGCATAAGTAGCCGTATTGTTACATTTTTCCTGATTGAACAGTCATATGTGGCAAAGACTAGCTGCAAAATGGAGTGCAAAACACCTGAGGTTTTCATGGTGACATATCAATTTACCCCTGTGGACAAAACAACAAAATATTTTGCTTTCATCAAGTAGGAGTGAATATCTTTTCAATATTGGCAGCATGAAGGAAAATCAATCCTTCAAATGCAGAGGATGAAAGCAGAATAGAGGAGTGAGCCCTCCCGCCATTTGTCCCCCATCTCATTTCTTGGCTTGCTTGGTGACCATGTTGCGAGGGGGAGTGACGGGACGGCTGCCGTTGGGCTTCTTCTTCTCGGCGGGTTTTAAAATCTTAAAAAAAGAAACAGAAAAGTATAAAAATGTGACTTGATTTCCTTTCAAAGGTGAATTTATGTTGACCTGACACAATTTCAGCCTGCAGGAGAACAGAGCGGATATTTCATTGCTTCCTATTTCATAATTTTTTGGGTACATTACGTCAACAAAGGATGATCAATACGGACACAAAACCATGACAAGACTGCCCATGTGAGATTCTGGAGATAACCAGCTTTTTTCTCTAGATCCCCCACCTTTGCTAAGTTCTTTCAGCTCTGTCTTTAACCCTGTAGCTTATGACTGTGGGTCTTTTTTGGGTAACACAACTGACCTGAAAAGAGCACATGAGGGTCTCGTCCACACTCATCATGGCACCAGCGTTATCAAATTCTCCACAATAGTTAGGTGCTGAGAACAAAGTCACGAGCTGCCTTTTTGCAAAAAACTCATAGCCATCCTCAACGACCTGCAAGTGACACAAAATAATACAGGCTGTCAAATTTTAAAACACACACAATCCCTTTTAGTTGTAGCATGGTTAAAAGAAAGTAGAAACACACTTCTACCACACAAAATTTTGGTGTTTTTATTTTTTTCCGTGCAGCACAGAGTAAATTTTTTCTACTGACTGGGCAAGAACCACATGTGCCAGGTATCAGAATCACTAAAACCATCCAAAGTACACAATCAGTTCTTTGCACAGTCAGTAATGTCCCCAAATCCTTGAATCAGATATTACAGCCTGTCCAGTGACCCGCTTATCTAAAAAACCTTGTTAATAAGGGCAGCAGAAGGGGGGGGGTTTGATTACCTGATGGGCACGACAGATCAGATCCAGATCATGCTTGTGCAGGAACTTGGCCACCACCTCCGAGCCAAAGGTAAATGAGACACCCCTGTCATTCTCCCCCCAGCCCAAAACATCTTTGTCCGGATCAGACCAGAGCAAATCACACAGCAGACCCTGGTCAGGGACGTCAGTGGGGCGCATGATGCGTCTGATTTGCTCCATGGACTGGAGGTCAGGTGACAGTCCTACAAAGAATAGAAGAACAGGTACAAATTAACTCACTGATATTGAGGTCAATACCTTTTAAACATGCCTGACGTCTATGTCGGTTAAACTGCGTAGAAGCATTACTCAAGTACAAATAAAAAAGTCAAATTTGAGATCAGAGAGTCTGGGGGTAAACAGTGTCAAACTAAACTGCAGAGTGTAGATTTGACCAAAAGAGCAGGCAATCACCATGAGGTCAAAATCTGACATTTCAGGCCTGTAATAATAAAACTGTTAATAACTTGTTTAAACTGCTTATATTGTGTTGCTGGGTGACAACGTCTTAGAGAGAAGTCGAATCAAAACACATGTCCCTGCTGCGCATCAAAACATCAATTACTGCACTGAAAATATAGGTAATTTTGAGTTAAGTAATTTTAAAGACACCCACCTCCATGACAGCAAAAGATCTTCTCATCAACAATGGCAGCGATGGGGAGACAGTTAAAACAATCTGTGAAGGTCTTCCAGAGCTTGATGTTGTACCTTCGTTTACCTTCAAAGTAAAAGGAAAAAAGATGATCTCAGTTCAGTCTCTTTCAGAAGTCTGAAGGATTCATTGGAGGCAATAACAAGGGACTGATTAAGTAGCAGCATCTTCTCTGTTTGATTCAAGGAGGAACAAACATCATTTTTCCTCAAAGTTTTTCTTAAAAAATTCCTTTTGGATAAAGCTTACAGTCAGGACTGGTTTTCTTCTGTCCTAATTAGACCTAAAATTGTGGGAAAATACACTGAGCTTACCCTACTTCTTTGGTCTAATTTTCTTTCTTTGTTTCCCTCGCCCTCTCAGCCTTATGGGTCTTGGCAGATGGCTTTCCACCCATTAGTTAAGTCTTGCCTGTGCATCATTTTCCCGTTAAGTTGGATCTTTGTAAATAATACCTCTAAGAGTAGAGTTCAGACCTGCTCTACATGTTAAGAGTAATGAAATAACTTTTGTTGTGATAGAATGCGCTACACCTAAACACTTATCAGGTTGATTGACAGAGAGGTTTCTGTACTCACACTCATCATAGAAACCATATATTCTGTTGATAGATGCGCACTCATGGTTTCCTCTCAGCAGGAAGAAGTTCTCTGGGTATTTGATTTTGTAGGCCAGAAGAAGACAGATGGTTTCCAGAGACTGCTTCCCCCTGTCCACATAGTCGCCCAAAAACAGGTAGTTGCTTTCTGGAGGAAAACCCCCATACTCAAACAGCCTCAGCAGGTCATAGTATTGCCCGTGGATATCACCTGCAGGACAAGAATAAATCACAGATCCAACAGAGGTGACGTAAATATGGGATGTGCAAAGTATAACATCTAAAATGATATCTTACTGATGTTTAAACACATCCCACAGTCTTTATGTGTTTCTACTGAACAAGCAGGACAGAGCAAGTGGTGAGCCGCTCAATAACTATGCATGGAATGAATCTCTCAAAAAATGCAAGTCTTTGTTCACAGAAAACAAAAGTGAAACTGGTAGCCCTGTTATTTAGTCTTAAACCTGAAAACCTTGTTACAACGAGGTTGCTGACATCTTGTCATTTTATGTTGTCGGGTTCTTGTATGTCTGGGTTCCTTATGACAAATGAAATTGGCCTTCAATTCGGAGGCCTTGTTTTTAACTGAGCTTTTGTTTTTTATTTTTTATTTCCATACGCTGATGCTTTACAGGGGGCGGCACAGTTGTGTAGTGGTTAGCACTGTTGCCTCACAGCAAGAAGGTCCTGGGTTTGAATCCGGGTCAGGGCATTTCTGTGTGGAGTTTGCATGTTCTCTCTGTGTCTGCGTGGGTTTACTCCGGGTACTCCGGTTTCTTTCCACATTCCAAAAACATACAGAAGTGGAGTTAGGTTAATTGGCCACTTTCAAATCGCCCGTAGGTGTGAATATGAGTGTGGATGGTTGTTTGTCTCTATATGTCAGCCCTGTGATGAACTGGCAACTTGTCTAGGGTGTCCCCTGCGTTCGCCCGAAGATGCTGGGATAGGCTCCAGCCCCCGGGAACAGGAATAAGCTGTAGAAAACGGATGGTTGGATGCTTTGCAACTGTTTGTCAAAGCACTTTGTAAACTTCTGTTTTTAAGAGTGCTATAAAAATAACATTTATTATTACTATCATTATTATTATTATTATTATCATTTTTATCCAGTGTATGAAACAGTGGAGCATGGTGTCCTTGTGCAGCCCCACCTTCCCATGCTCCAGCATGCAGATAGCAGAGGAGCAGGACAGAGACTTTGTGCATAAAATGGTGGTAAAATTTAGCACAGTTATTTTTGTTTATATTCCAAGACTAATGTGGCACTAATATGTCTGAAAAGCTGCCTGAAAATTACAAGCCAATTGGCCTAGTGCCACATCTCATAAATTATGTCCAGTGGATCATCTTGTGATGGTTTACACATGCTCGCAGAGTTTGATTTCAGTACTTGGTCAAGTAATTTCAGGGTTTTAGTATCTTGTTTACTTAAGATACTACGCATATAATTTTACTAGTATCCATTTACAAATTTCTTTTTTACATTGTTCTTACCACAAATCTTGAGAGGCGCCTCCAGCTCCAGAAGGATGGGTTGACTGAGAAAGATCTCCCTGGATTTGAGGCACAGTCCACGGATCTCATTCTCCTGCAGCTGTACATTCTTACCAGGCTTTGCCCCTCTGACTGCAACATCACAACATAAACATAAGGTCAGGGGAAAACATGCTTTAGTTTAACACACACAGATGGTGAAAGTCCCAAACAACATATGTATATATAAGAGCTGAGAAAGTATGAGGGACACGTGATGGTGTTTGTTTGAGTAGACTGTTTACTGAGTGGAAACAGATAAACATCATTAGTCTCAAATTTATACATATATATATATTAAAAGAAATGTGGTGAACTTAATCGTTTACTCTTCAAATGGCTGATATAGTCTATCTAAGCAGTGAGGTTTGTTTCCTCGCTGTTGTTGGTAAATATGTCCTGTATATCCCCGCCAGTGTCCGTCATCCCGTCACGCAGATGTAAGTGAAGTGCTGTGTTGTTATTATAGGTCATTTCCTTACCTTCTAAAAGACGTTGGATGATACTGTCTATGTTGAGCTTATCAACATCTGCCATCTTAACGTTGTTTGGAGTAAAATCGTCTCAATCCGAACTAGGTGTCGTCTTGTGAACACACTTGTGAAAGCTAGCCCGCTAGCTATCCTGGCATTAGCTTCTCAGCGTTAGCTTAGTTGAATTCCGGTTAAGGGTGAAAGGAATTGGCCTCTTCCTGCTTCAATTCGGCCAATTTTTCTGACTTTTAGTAATCTAAAATGCTACGTGGATTACTAAACTTAAAAAAAATCTCATCCAGTGTTGGTTTTTGTTTTGAAACGGGGTCTAAAAAAATAAATGTTTACCGCACCAGCCGTAAGCTAGCGCGGATGGTGTCCCGTATCTGTTTTTCTCTGCCGCACCTTGAACAGCGAACCAGCTGCTTCAAGGAGGCTGCTGCGGGGCTGCTCTGCTGCTGCCCCCTGCTGTACTGGATGGAGAAAGACACTTTGAGCAGCAGTCCTACAGAGTTTGATGGAAAACTGCGGCACATCATCTTGACTTGGGGTAAGTTGAGAGCCAAAGGGTAAAGTTGAGCCACCCCCTGTTTCTTGGAAATGGTCAAAGAAATTGATCATGTGACCAAATATTTAGGAGATGGGCACCAATTCATGGAGTCTGTGAAGGTTAGAAGCACATGGGTGAAGGGGTTACACATTTATTTACAAAAAAATAATAATTTTCACTCTTTAAAGTGAATTTAGTCTGTCATAAGTTTGATTAGAATTGTGTTCAGACCAAAAAAAGATCATTTTAATTTGCTTATACATCAATTGTTGTATCTATGAGCTACATAAAACTAACATAAAAGTCCACCATTTTAACTTAGAGGACTAATAAAGTCATCATAGTAGTTCTGCGGTAACTGAGGAAGTAAAGGTTTCAGATTGGTTCAGTTCAGATTGTTGAAATGTTTCACTTTTTCTTTTAAAAATTACAGCTGTGAATGTTCTGAATCACTTAACCCTTCAATGCCTGAAACCACAAACTATGGCCAGAAAATTCAAATTTTTTGGGAGCTGAAATGTTTATTTCACTTACTACTGAAAGCCAAAAAATTAAAATGTCCTTAAGATTTAACAAATATATTTATTTATCATGTTTGATACATTACATGTTTTTGGAAACTGATAAACTACAAGAAGACATTTTTATTATTTATCAGACTGTATTCAGGTGTTTTTTTTAGTAATTTGTTGATCATATTGATTTTATAGAAGTATCATAAAAGTATGTATCAAATATGATACAATAAGCAATAAAGGGCTACAGGCATTCTCATGTTAAAATGGCTTTTTACAAAACAGTTTTTTAGTAGTTATATGCAATAATAAGAAAAAGAATTATTGTACCAGTTGAATAGCGTATATAGATAAAAATACACATGAATGTGAAGAAGTGACTGTTATTTAAGGAGAGAGAAGGTGAGGGAGGACTGGGGTGGAGAGTAGGGGAGTAGTAGGGATACAGCTCAACTTACCCCGCTCCTATGGTCAACTTACCCCATACACGGGGTAAGTTGACCATAGGAGACCACCTTTTTTTGGCATGCTATGTGATCAAGACAGTTATGTTAATACACATTCTGTTGGTTTGCAGGGATGAACAACATCTTGAAATATATGCAGATACACTAGTTAGAGACAAAACTATGATTGACTTGATGTAGTGATCTGAAATATGAAAAATGGCTCATCTAACCCCACTCTCCCCTAACTTGAGATCAGAGAGTGTATGCCTCCCCAAAACAACTGTCAATAAATCCCTCCTCGCATGCAGCCTTCACATCTAACTGTACAGTATGACTATGTTTCCCCCCGTACTAAGTTTTGTCACTTACTGACAGGCCAGAACGAAAAAAACTCCAAACACTTGAGTCTCTTATCGGCAAATTGTGAAAAGGACAAAAACAAATGAACAACAATAAGATGAGTTGATTTTAAAATGCAAACAAGTTTTGCCATTACGAGAAAGAAAACAGCATTGTGTTCTTGTGAAAGACACGGTTTCAAATCATTCAAGATTAATTAACTGGACCACTTAACAAACTATCTTTAAATTAAAACACTAACTTTGATGCTGTAGGAGTATTAATGTGTGTCAATGAGCTGTAGATCTTTACTTTTTATAACAGGGAATGCCAGGGTTTTTCCTGGCTCAAATTGAGGCAGAGGTGGCACCATCCTGACCATGCGCCATGACGTGCATATATTTGTAAATTCAACTGTCTCACTTTCTTTTACAGGCAACATACTTTAAGTTAAGAGTTCAAAAAAGAGTGTGACCATTATCATGTTAAAGCATTCATTTATTAAAACTATATACATACACAAATCAGCTGGCAACTTTAAATTGAAAGTACACTTCATCCACACATCTCGCAACCAGACAGAACATTTCAGCCTCCTCTTTTTCATTCTGTAGAACCTCCTCATGCACTCCTTGTAGTCCAAGGCCTCCTGGTCTGGTCCATCAACAGCCACCTTACAACAGACATCCAAGTGCCTCTCCTTCAGTCTATTCACAGAGGTGTCTTCACCTTAAACAAAACAATTCATCATGCATTAAGTATTTTTGTTTTTATTCTGATACAGACATGAAGAGTGATAGTGTTTTCAATCATATATTATATATATATATATACGCTGCAGTGTCCTCCCTAAAAAAAAAAAACGACAACTAATTATTTCTTAAACTATCTAAACTATGTTATTTTAGTTTTATTTATTTTTTATTAATTATTAGTTATTATTTATTAGTTGAGTGTTTTTAGGTACTACCATCTTTAATATATTTCTCCTTCTCTTCTGCTGCTTTGTGAACGGCTATCACCTCATGTCTTTTTAATGTGTCCAGCCTGTAGTTGGTTGATGGCTGTCTCACTAAGGAGGCAGCAATTGCCTGCTGTGTTGGGGCACAGTGCTTTTGGCATAAATAGCAGTGCATGCCTTCCTCAGTATGCCTGAGCCAGGTAAATTGATTGAGCCATTGCTTGTCAAAGCCACTGGCTCTGTGTTTTTGAGAAAATCTGGAAAGAGGAATAAAAACCACGTACACGTTGGCTTTGCGTTGTTATGCTCCTAATTGGAAACTAATTAATTAATTACCCTCGCCTCGCCGACTCGTCCTGTCCTGCATTCTGACCCTCGCGATCACCAGTCCCTTGTGAAGTACTTTCAGACCTGACACAAATTTCCACGTTGTCACCACTATGAATTATAGCATTTTAACTGCCTATTACGTTTTTTCTCTGCTGTGTTTCACCTGGACTCTTGACTTTCCTCCTTGCGAGGTCGCTTTTTAAAGTACTGGCTGATTTTGCCTGTCATATCTGCAACGCTAAAAAACGGAGGAAACTTTTTTTTTAAATAAACACGTCATGCTTGGATGCAAAAAAGACAAGCAGTATTTACCTGTTTGTACCATCCGCCAGGGAAAATCAGGACGCCGATAGCACCAACTAGCGGGAAAAAAAACTTGAAAAAACATGATTCGATCCGTTTCTTCTTCGGTAGAGGCTTCAGGTCTTTCCGGTGCACTGCTGTTGATATAGCGCCTTTATAGTGGCGCAACGCTGCAACTGCAGTTAAAATACGTTGCTGCAGCAGAGGGACATCATACACTCAATCAACACAGCTGGAACTTTACGCTGTGTCGAGCGAAATCAATCGCCCTGGCCGGGGGCGGCACAAAATTAGGTGGAGGCGGCCGCCACGCAATTTTGAACGCAGGAAAAACCCTGGGGAATGCAGAGAGTTTACATGTTTTCATTTCAAAACTTATCGACCCTGTACAGTCAGTACTGGACTTGACCTCGGAGGACAATTTACAGTTATTTAAATAAGAGTATTTTCTGATGCAGCTGTGGGAAGTCAAATCATTCAAAGATACATCCCCCTGGAGCCAAATTCAAAGAGCTATTGTTGTTATCTTTCTCTGGGATTATTCAAACACCCCCACAGGCCTGCATGTTTAACCTCCTGACCTCTGGAAATCTCCAACATCATCATATCAGATATCTCTGTCACTACTTCTGTCTTCATATGAAATATGAAAACTCTAGAAACACTGTGCCTCTGGTTAAAAACTTCAAGTTTCACCCATCGCATTTTGAAATGTCACACACATGCACGCTCTAGTGTTTCAATACAGAATTGATTAATTCCTTATGTGCAAAATAATTCATTGCAGGAAAAAAATATGCTTACAGTGAAACTGTAATATGAAGCTTGATATTGGAATACTGGAAATAGAAAAACAGGGCTTTTTTTCAGCTTTTCAGATGACACCTATCCTTTCAAATCAGTATTAGGCAGAAGAAATTACAAAATAAAAACTATCAATCATGATGCTAATAGTCTTGTTTGCTTTTGTATATCATAAAAAGGAATTTGGTTCATCTTACAGTTATTTTTTGAGTGATTTAATGAAACTTTTACCTCTTCGTTGATAAAATGTCAAAATATTCCCTGAAAAAAATAAAAACTTCAGTAGCTCATTCTTATCTGTGTCAAACTTCAAAACCAAAGATCTTTATTTACATAAAATTAGACAAAAAAAAAGGAAGGACAGAAAATAAAGTACCAGGAAATTATAATAATTATCATTTGACAAGTTGGAACCAAATATTATTAAACATCTTTGCAGGTAAAATGACTCAAAAGATTAAATGGATTACAAGATATTTGCATAATCCACTTCTTCAGCTATAAGAACCTCTGTAACCACCCATAGAGCCTGCAGAAGTTTTGCCATTACTGTATCTGAAGTCCTGCATAGTAAGAGTTCTCTTGGCTGGGGTTCTGACTCCTGAGGTGGATCTGGACACCAATGCAGAGGGGACCCCCTTTGCTCCCCTCTTTCTTTCATAGATGCCTGCAGAGTTTGACAGTGACACTCTAATTAGATCCCAAACTAATGGCACAATCATCACCCGGCTCTCTGCTTCAGCTTCACTCATTATTGGTTTTACTGTGACACATGCGCTTATGATAGCAAACCAATGATCAGCAAACTTAGCGAGCATGGGGGCATTAATTGCACAACAGGCAAGGTTTATTTCAGGGCATGCATTTCATTAGAGAGGATTACAAACACTGTCAGTTTGTTATTGAAATATTTACTCAAGCCTCCAATTTTGTGAGAATGTGGACTAAGCCTGGGGAGGGTGTGGTCTGCTGCCCCCACTCACACAGTCCCATGATCACATGAGGGATTATTCTATAAGGCCTGGGTGATGACAGGATGGTACACTGAGCCCTGTTTGATCAAAAGTCCCCTGGAGACAAGGATTAAGTGGAGCTATTTACATGACTGCCAAGGAACTGTGAAAAACAGCGTAAAGGGATGCGGGGCGATGACATCATTTGCTCGGATTCACGGGCCT